CTCTCTCTGTCCCAAAAATAAATAAATGTTGAAAAAAAAATTTTTTTAAATGTGTTTGAAGAGGAGCATCTGGGGGCGCCTGGGTGGCGCAGTCGGTTAAGCGTCCGACTTCAGCCAGGTCACGATCTCGCAGTCCGTGAGTTCTGATGGCTCAGAGCCTGGAGCCTGTTTCCGATTCTGTGTCTCCCTCTCTCTCTGCCCCTCCCCCGTTCATGCTCTGTCTCTCTCCCAAAAATAAATAAAAACGTTGAAAAAAAAAATTTTTAAATGTGTTTGAAGAGGAGCATCTGGGTGGCTCTGTCAGTTGAGTGTTTGACTCTTGATTTTGACTCGGGGTGTGATCACCGGGTCGTGGGATTGAGCCCTGCCTCGGGCTCCAAGCTGAGTATGGAGCCTGTTTAGAATTCTCTCTCTCTCTAAGGGGCGCCTGGGTGGCGCAGTCGGTTGAGCGTCCGACTTCAGCCAGGTCACGATCTCGCGGTCCGTGAGTTCGAGCCCCGCGTCGGGCTCTGGGTCGGGCTCTGGGCTGATGGCTCAGAGCCCGGAGCCTGTTTCCGATTCTGTGTCTCCCTCTCTCTCTGCCCCTCCCCCGTTCATGCTCTGTCTCTCTCTGTCCCAAAAATAAATAAAAACGTTGAAAAAAAATTAAAAAAAAAAAAAGAATTCTCTCTCTCTCTGTGTCTCTCTCTCTGTCTCTCTGTCTCTCTCTCCCCAACTCAGGCTCTCCCTCACGCTCCCTCTCAAATTAAAAAAAAATTAGTAACAAATAAAATGTCTTCAAAGACTATTTAATGACATGAGGAAATGCTCTTGAAAAAGAAGATAAAATTGCATCTGTATAATAATCCAAATTGTGGGGAGCCTGGGTGGCTCAGTTAAGCTTCTAACTTCAGCTCAGATCAGGATCTCCTGGTTTGTGACTTCAGGTCCCACATGGGGCTCTCTGCTGTCAACGCAGAGCCCCTTCAGATCCTCTGTCTCCCTCTCTTTCTGCCCTTCCCCCACTCTCCATGTGCACATACATGCTCTCTCTCAAAAATAAAAAACATTTAAAACATGGGGCACCTGGGTAGCTCAGTCAGTTAAGCGTCCAACTTCAGTTCAGGTCATGATCCTGCAGTCCATGAGTTGGAGCCCTACATTGGGCTCTGTACTAACAGCTCAGAGCCTGGAGCCTGCTTCAGATTCTGTCTCCCTCTCTCTCTGCCCTTCTCCCACTCACACTCTGTCTGTGTCTCAAAAATGAATAAATGTTAAAAAAATTTTTAAATAAATATAATAATAACAAGCTAAATTGCATAATGCCTTTGTATATATTTGGACATGAAGATCCAATTTACTGTTGCCCTAGTTTGAATACTTCAAGTTCAACTGCAGTTAGGTTCTGTAATTTCAAAGAAAGCTTCTTGCTTTTCTGATTTTTAAAACATTGTTAGTTACCAACTTAATCCTTCCAAATTGCTGTTCACTTGCTGAAACCTGAAACCATATCACTATTCAAGATACTTGTGCTTTAAGATCCTAGAATATAAGCAAATCAAAGTTTATGATTTAGATGATTGATATTAAGTACATTTTAGGCAGTGAGGGTTCCTCCTTATATGTAGCTTAGCAGTCAACATGATTTTCTACATGTATGCTTTTCTTTATAATTAAGAATATTATTTTCTGTGTCCTAACTTTTTAGATTATAAGCACACCACAGAGACTAACCAGTTCAGGAAGTGTTCTGATTGGGAGTCCATATACCCCTGCACCAGCAATGGTTACTCAGACACACATAGCAGAAGCTACTGGCTGGGTCCCAGGGTAAGACTGTTGTTGCAAGTTACCATTTTTAAAACTTTTTTTAAGCTGTGATCTTTTCCTCTCACTCTCTTGTCTTCTGTTCTTGTTTCATGTTAGTCTAGTCCTTAAAAACTAATGTGTGGCCTTTAAAATCACCTGTTTTATTTCACTTTATATCTCAGATATGAAGCAATCATTTTTAAATACAATATGGAGCAATCATTTTTAAATACAATAATTTGTACCTGTGTCTTCTGACTTTTTCACCTCTCAAAAAGTACTGTTTTTATGATTATCACATTTAGCTGCTTTGGAGATGCACGAACTATATTGTTTTAATAAACATAAGAAAAGAGTTACATATTAAGTGTTGGCTATCCTCCGAATTTCCTGTAACTTTTTATTTCCTTCAAAACCAGAAAAGGAACTAGGGAAAAGAAGCCAAATACATTAAAATTTTTATTGCGTTTTTTCTTGATCCTTTTAAAACACTGGACAGTTAAATCAATATCCCTTGTGTTATTCATTTACCACTTTTAGTATTAAACTTTTACATGTTTCATCTCTGCCTGTAGATACCCTTACCCAGCCTTTCTCTGCTCCTTATCATTTTACCATTTAATCGTCCTGTAAAAGAAAAAAATCTTAAGATAAAGGACTCAAAACTTCATTCTGTCACTTTAGAAGTTATTTTCGTGGTGACATACTGTACTCGTAGTTCTGTTTGACTTACAATTGTGAGTTAGCAGACAGTAAATTTTGGTTGTGTAAGAGCTTTCTTGTTCCCAGGATGTTAAATAATCCTGGCAAAGTGTTTTAAGCCATATACATGTTCATGTGTATACACATATAAACACACATTAGAGACAGAATAGTTTCATATGAATACATCCTTTTCCACTATCAAATGAGATGAAACACCATCACCTGTAATCCCATGGCCTCTATTCAGTCCTTAATACACGAGGACCTAGAAGTTACCTCGGATTTCTGCACAGCCTTGAGAGATTATAACATGAAAGCCACGCCTGTGCCAGTCGTGTTGGCCTGCTTTGGAGATGGCCAGGGTTTGGGTATTTTCAGCCCAGCTGTGTTTCATATTAGGGGTGGAATGATTGCTCTGTTGTTCTGGAATGAGTCATACTTTCTGTGCCTTTCTAAGTCTGCAACATTTCTTCCCATATTCCTCGAGCTCATTTCAGCCTACAGTATTATATTGTGGTCTTTTTGATCCTATGATAAATTTTATTATGTTGTGATCTCTTACTCCTATGATAAAATTATAGTTTTTATTTTATGGACATATCTTTCATGTTTGTTAGGTTTTGTGTTTGCATATATTTGCTGTGAAACTAGACAAGTTACAGTAAATTATTCATAAAATAAAGTTGTGTTTAAATACCTGTTCTTTTTATGCTATCTTTTTTTTTCTTTTTAGTGATAGAAAACGAGCTAGAGAATTTATAGATTCTGATTTTTCAGAAAGGTGAGTATAAGCGTTAAGTGTTTTGTTTGAGAGATGCAACTATGTAGAGAGGAGTTTGATGTCTGGACGATTCTAGTTTAATTAGAGATGTTTTTCTTCACAGGACTTAATTGAGTTTCTGCCATTATTTTATACCTCAGTGAGTGTTGTATTTCATTTGTCATTACATAAATTCATTATATTTACATAGGTCCAAAAGAAATCATCCTGTTAGTAGATTGTCTGTTGGTAGTGTATTATTTAGCCCTCTCCCTCCTTTTGGAGGATGAACGTGTCCTACCAAAGTGAATATTCGACGTTACCTCAACATGCCCAGATTTTTTAAAAAGAAGTTTTATTGAACACATTTAAAGATTGTAGTAAAGTCTCACTTCTTTCTTAACTAATAAGTCGAGTACAGTATAACATTCCTTAGACTATTAGGACAGTGTTTCTCAGTGTGCATCAGAATCACCTGTGGAGGGGCGCCTGGGTGGCTCAGTTGGTTAAGCGTCCAGCTTCAGCTCAGGTCACGATCTCGCGGTCTGTGAGTTCGAGCCCCGCGTCAGGCTCTGGGCTGATGGCTCAGAGCCTGGAGCCTGCTTCCGATTCTGTGTCTCCCTCTCTCTCTGCCCCTCCCCCGTTCATGCTCTGTCTTTCTCTGTCTCAAAAATAAATAAAATGTTAAAAAAAAAAAATTAAAAAAAAAAGAATCACCTATGGAGTATTGAACGCAGTATGAATCTCTACCAAGTCAGAAACTCCAGGAATAAAAACGATCATGTAGGGTCATTAAAGTTCAGTATGCCATGCAAGCCACTACATGAGGTACCATATTAATGTTGTGCTGGTTCTTTTTTTTAAGTTTATTTATTTTTGAGAGAGAGAGAGAGAGAGAGAGAGAGAGAGAGAGAGAGAGAGAGAGAACACAAGGCAGGGAAGGGAGAGAGAGAGGGAGAGAGAGAATCCCAAGCAGGCTCTGCACTGTAAGCACAGAGCCCAGTGTGGGGCTCGATCTCACTAACCCTGAGATCATGACCTGAGCCAAAATCAAGAGTTGAATGCTTAACCAACTGAGCCACCCAGGTGGCTCTATATAAGAGCCACCAGGGGCTCTATAGTGCCCCAGTGTGGCACTATATTAAAATAAGACCTGTTGTCTTCGAGGCAGGAATTCTGTAAGGTTGTTACTTAATGTCTTAAATAAAACTTCCCCAGCTATGCTTTCTAAATTTGATTTTTGGTTTTTGATTCTAAGATCTTTTAACTCCTTCTTCCAGTGGTGTTTTAATCTCTGTTCTTTTGTTAGGTCATTTGCTCTCAGAATAATAAATAGTTTTCTGTCTTATCTCTTTTCTAGTTTGCCACCTCTGATTTGCTGTGCCCTGAGAAACTAGGTAGCCAAATGCGTTAACATTCAGTCTAAAATAAAAATGAGAAGACTCTGAGTGAGGACCTTGAGGCGATATATATTTTTTAAAATGTGTGTTTTCTTGCATTGAGACTGGCTGTACTTCTGTTCCTTTGTGGCATTTGTTGCTTGCTTCTTGGTTCTTAATTGTTTTGAACAGATAAAATCATGTCTGAGAAACTGCTATATCATATAGAAATATATGGGGAAATATATTCTTTTCTTCCTAATGGAAATTCCTCTTTCTAGCTCCTGCTGGTCTTTGTGTTTATCCCTGGAAAGGGCAGCAGTACAAGTTCTTATGATGTATTCAGCAATGCATAAGGCCTTAAAATAGTACTTTTCATTTGTTATGATTGGTGACCCTTATGTACTGCCAACAATATAAAAAACATGATTCTACTTACACTCCTTCATAAGAGAGACCTCTAAAGATCACATATAAAAGTGCCAGATTGAGTTTGTTGGTGTAAACACTGATTCAACTTTTCCTTTTTGCATATGATTCAGTGATCTTTTTTTCTAGTGATTTTTATTCTTTTTATTTTTTAATGTAACTTTTCTACAATGAATCCCACCCCCACCCCCACAATCAAGTCACGAAGATTACTGCATGTGATTTTTTTAATGTTTATTTATTTATATTTATAGAGAGGGAGAAAGAGAGAATGCAAGCAAGGGAGGGGCAGAGAGAGAGGAGAGAAAGAATTGCAAGCAGGCTCCATGCTGTCTGTGCAGAGCCCAACAAGGGCTTCATCAGGAACCATGAGATCGTGACCTGAGCTGAAATCAAGAGTCAGACACTTAACTGACTGAGCCACCCAGGCACCCCTATTGTTTTTCTTACAAATGTTTATTTTCCTCCAAATGCATTGTGTTCTTCTGTAACGCTGTGAAACATCTTTGTTTCCCTTCTCCCAGAGTTGAGGTTCAAAAAGCCAGCTCTCAACCATAGACTAGTCTTTATCTCTTCAATGTTTTGTATGTTGATTTAGTATTATATCTGTAAGTATTTGTATTTGTTTTCTTCAGGGATTTATACATCAGTATATAGGGATACGTTCAATGTTTTTATCCTCATCTTACCACTTGACAGTGCAACTTTAAGTATGTCTTACACAACTGTTCCTTTGTCAAGGTCATTTGTGAGAGCACGTCAGTTTCTGAAGAAATCTTGTTTGGTAGGTAAAGGATCCTTTGAGGGATTCTCCTTAGTTTTTTCCCTGTATTCTGATCCACTGGACTTCTTTTCAGAGAGCTCGTAGAAGAAGCTGTGAAAATCCCCTTTCTGTTCTTGTCTGGGGGGTTAATCCTGAAACCTGTTTGTTCACTCTCTCTTTCTTCCTTTGGACAGAATCTGATGGTGTCTTCTACATGCATCTCTTCCAGATCTATTTCCATTTGGACCTCTGCTGAGGGATTCAGAAGGTCCTGGGTGCCCCACAGGCAGCAATGGCAGCTTGTGGGTGTTCTTCTTTGTTCTTGTCTTAAACGAAGATTTGGCACGCTAGTGTTGTATTCTTCCTGCAGGCTCATGTAATCTCAATATCTTTTTGTTGGCGGAAAAGTTAGAATTCCACTTATTTTTAATAAAATAATAATTTATAATTAACTAATGTAAACTGTAATAAGCTAATAGTAATCAAAATCAGTATAGTTAATATGTGTACAGCTTCAATGATGTTTATGAAATTGTTCATTTAGCAAACATTTTTAATATCTACTAACTTATGTTCTAAGCATTGGAGAGAATAATAAACAAGACAGGTAAGTCTGCCCTTAGAGAGTTTATATGGGGGGGGGGGGTGGGGAGTATAATAAGCAAATAAGATTATTTTTATTTTTTTTATTAAAAATTTTGCTTAATGTTTATTTTTGAGAGAGACAGAGTATGAGCCGGGTAGGTGTAGAGAGAAAGAGAGAGACACAGAATCTGAAGCAGGCTCCAGGCTCTGAGCTGTCAGCACCGAGCCTGACATGGGGTCAGACTCACAACCGTGAGATCATAACCTGAGCCAAAGTCAGATGCTTAACCAACTGAGCCACCCAGGCACCCCAGATTATTTTTAGATTACGGTAAGTGGTATACAAAAAAAAATACGAAAAGTGATTATGGCTACCTTGGAGAAAGCCTCACAAGGGAGGTGATATTTGAATGCAAAGGAGTCAGGCTGCTAAATAGATTAGGTGAGGTGGGGGAGACAGGGATTCTGGGCAGAGGGAGTGGCAGATGTAAAGCTCCCAACTGAGAGCAATGGGCAGTGGCAAATGTAAAGCTCCCAGCCAGGTTGATGTATTTGGGGAAGCACTGTGGCCTGGAGATAGTTTGAAAAGCAGAGTGATATGACATGAGGGTGGAGAGGTAGGCAGGGTTCAGATCATGATGAAAGACCTTTGTAGGTCCTGGTAGGGAGTTTGGTTTCTGTTCTAAGGAGGATTTTCAGCAGGGAAATGGCATGATTTAAGTCACTGGCTACTGAGGGGTAAATGGATTCTAAGGAGACAAGGACAAAAGCAGGAAAATCAGAAGACTATTGCAGAGGACAGTGGCCTGGCAGTGGAGATGGGGAAAAAAAATGGATAAATGATAGACATAGAACCAACAAAATGTATTGATAGATTAAAGGAAGGAAGAGGAGAAATAAAGGATAGCTTTGGTTGTTTTGCATGAACAGCTAGGTGAATATTGATGCCATTTACATTTAGTGTATTTAGGAGTAGGTTTGGGAAGAATTTTGTTTTAGACATAATGAAGTTCAATAAGTTTATTAGTTATCTAAGTGATGGTATCATTAGTATATAAGTAGTATCATTAGCACATAAGTGGTCGCAAGCCTAAATGATACAACCCAAGGAGGGAGAGAATGAAGATCCATAAGGAATAAATATTTATTTCCCATTTCACACCTCCTCTTCCACCCATACCCAACACAATGGATACATACTTCCAGGAAAGTAAAGAGGTTTTTTTAAGTTGTTTTACTAAGTTACCACATGAAATTATTTTGCTGATTTACGTATTCTTGTTGGCTCATTTAAGTGGGAAATGAAGTTTTCATTACTTTTGTAAATAAAAATAAATTATTGGGAAAATATAAGAAGACAGTGGTTATAGGTTCTAGTTAAGCACCTGGAAAGATAATATTCTTTGGGTATAATTCATCTGAATTCTTCAAACGAAGTTATAAAAGTTAACATGCATTTCAAACTATACCATATTAGTAGTTTTATTTTCTATTTATTTTCCTTTTTTTTTCCTCAATTTGGCTTTATTTGGTAAAGAACACTTCCTACTGGTTTCTTTATTAGATTAATAAACTAATAGAGATCATAGTGTTTATACCCTATAGCCATAGTTTGGTGTTATTTGGAAAGAGGGTCCTGGTGGTCCAAATAGCTCGATTCTGAGAAAACTTAAGTAAAGTAAACTCTAAGATTCAGATAGTGAGTTGGGCACCTGGGTGGCTCAGTTGGTTAAATGTCAGACTCTTTTTTTTTTTTTTTAATTTTTTTTAAGGTTTATTTATTTTTGAGGGAGACAGAGCGCAAACAGGGGAGGGGCAGAGAGAAAGGGAGACACAGAATCTGATGCAGGCCCCAGGCTCTGAGC